ATGGGAAAATTTTTGACACCATGTACCGGGCCATTTCCCTTAAACATGTACCGCAAAGCATGAGCGTGGCCAGGCTGCAGAGAAAAGTTGAACCACAAATTGATAGTGAACTATCGGGTACCCATGTTGTTATTCAAGTCAGAATGAATACAGTATGCAGCGCTTTTACTAGCAAAATAATCCGGGTAGTATGCAGTTTAATGCAATACTCGTAAACAAGAACAACTGTAGCAGGCTTTTTTGTAAACACAAAAAGTTGTGGTTATCACTACAAGAAAGCAAACATCGCCCGAAATAATTCAAATAGACCAAACCATTCATCGAACAAACGGGCAAAAACAGAACTGGCATTTGTGCTTAACAGCCAACAGGTTCACTAACACAAACACCTAGCTATACTTGGAGTTTACGTACATACTTCCGAGTATAGAAACATACTTCGATTATTCTCATATTCCGATCATTTAAGTATAGGGGCCTGTATACCGTTTTAGATTTTGTCAGCCGTCACTTACACACCCCCATGTAGCGCGTTACAGGAACAGCGGCTGGTTGCGCAACGTGCTTCTTGATTTTTTATCACTGGTCTGTAGTCAACAAAAGTAAATTGAAAATGTTGAAACTTGAAATTTCTGAAATTTGCCAACGTGACATAGCGATTCCAGAACTTTGTGCATTGCACCCGGTCTCAATACAGCAGTGTGTACGTAGTGTTGTTGACCTACAGAGTACTGTGAACGTATGATGCCGTAAAAGTAATAAAATTTAATTGCCATTGCACCCGGTCCATTTCATGTTCTTACCGGTTAGTTTGGTTTTTTATAGAAACTTTCTGATTAGCTTATCCGTCGAAATTCATGAGCAAAGTTAAAACTATGCATTTCTAAATTCTAGTATTGTTATTTGCCTGGAAATTTTAACATTAAATGGCCAAATACGAAAGCATGCAGTTATAGGGACCGAAATATTAGAAGAAGCGAAGTAGAGAATTTATTACAGCCCACCTTTTACCTGTAAGTACTAGTGCATACGTCCAAACAGTTCGCGACTTTGCGTCGTCAAATTCCCCTTACCGGAGAAAGAAGAAATTTTAACAAAAATTCGTACTCAAAGAAACAGCGCTGTTCGAAGCTTATTTCTGCATTTCCATTTACTGGAATTCTTTATTTGAACATGCTTTTCGAGCCACTGTAAAAACCGAAGCATCGGGCCATAATAGGCCCGAGTTCATGAGTGAACTCCACATCCACAGCAACCACCCTATCCTTTCCCGTTTTCTTGTACAGCTCCTTCAGAAGAGACGGGGCGGGATTATCCGGTTGCGCTTTCTGCAGCAGAAAACAACCCCGACTTCTAGTTATCGCTTCTTTTATGGCCGTTTCTCACCTTTCCATTCACCGATCGGATCAGATCGCCCGGGAACATGTCGAGGCGCATATCGAACACATCCGTTACAACTATCCAATACTCTCCAGATGGACCTATTACAACATCGGTACTAAATCCAAACCCGCAGCGGGTGTTCCGTACTACCACCGAGCGGTAGTGATTCTTCGTTGTATCTAGGTTGTGGTCTTCGAAGCAAATGGGGCATAATTTCTGCAAATGCAAGTTGTGCCGAAGCTCAAGCTGTTTCGCATTTACGAGACCAGCGGGATATTGCCTTTCTCGGGTCTCTCGAATCATTTTTGTAGGCTGCGAGAAATCGTCTGGCTTCGCTTTGCTCCATGTTGCTGCTATCATCTATATAAAAATAAGAATATAAAAAAAAATAAGAAAATTAAATTTCAACCGATTTTAAATAGTCGTTGCTATCGAAAGCTATGCGGGTATTTTTAACCCGATACCAGAAAGTCGTTTGCGAGAGTTATCCCCATTCTGTAAGAAAAATCAACATCACATAAGTTATTTACAAGAACGGTGGTGGAAACATGTATTTACTGCACATCGAACAGAACCAACTTTGTGCGGGCAACAGTTGCGCAGACGTATACATAATACCACAATCCCTCCAACAAGAAATCCCAAAGCAAACCAAAAAACGCCCATCTTCCCGAGATTTACTACGGCAAAGAAGCCCCTTCAAACAGTCTCTGTGTTTGTGGTGCATGGCACATAGCGTCAGATCTAGCCGGTTTTCGGGAAAAAAGGATAATATTGTCGTCCATGCTTTTCTTTATAAGTACCGTACTGGTACAGAGTATGTACGAGGAAGATGTAACTTCGATTGATAGAGCGTTTACCATAATAATACTTACCATCAATCGATAGCGTGCAGGCCGCACGTGGTTGGGTACGCTATCAACCGCCAAGGGATGACCGTGTTAGTTAGTGCAAGTTCTATATATATGTAACAGCCGCTGAGCGCGACTTACAGTATCCACTATCCACTGGTGCGACGTTATTCATTATCAGAATAGCAAAACCGCAAACATAACATTATCGAAATAAAATGTTTGTATAGCGTGTATTCATAAAGGGGATAAAATGATAAAATAATGGGATTATGGAAAGAAAAACGTTAAATAAAAACGGGTTAAGAAAATGTATAACGTAAATCAACAGTGATTATTCCAGTAGACAACACATTAACATTACCTTAACGCCGGCAGTTCCATGTCTGGCTGCCGTCCTCGGGGGTTGCAGTATACACCACGTAACATTTGCATGTGTAAAAGCAACTTTATTGACAAATTGTACCAGCTAGAAGCCATTTACACTTGAACTTGATAAACCAATTTGCATCTTGCATCTTGCAAACGAGACATACACCGCACAGAAACACAGAGATATTGTTGATTATTGTAGAGTAGTGGCGTTGCGCTACGTGGTTTACGTTTAATTTGATTCATGCTAAGGCTGTATTCACGCGTGAATATTTAGTATTTACGTACGTAAATATCACTGGACGTCTAAACTAAGTCGATCCCCTGATGATTTTTATTACTAATGATTTTTTATTATGCTTTTTATTTCGAATTTGTAGAGTTATAGTTTTTTGTTATCAAAAAAAATAACAAAAAAATGGCCGGCAATCCGAATTTCTGCGGATTCGTTAACCTGTGCTTTTCCAGATCCTTGGCCGAGAATTTTGTTAGTGGTGTACTGGCGATTTAAAGAAGCAATCTGAAGTTACATTCTTCGCCGGTTTAACTGCCGTATGTTCTTTGCAGGCTCACAGATGAAGCGAAAGACTTCCGGTCAGATAGCTCAAAGTGTTTCAAAAAGCAAGAAAATAAATGCAAGATTGTGGAGCACCAAACCTACGGGTTCGATTTTATTATTATGTTGTCAGTGATACGAATTTCCACAAATATTTATGTATTTCTACAAATGCAAAACAATTGTATATGTGAAACAGCAAAAATCATAGTAAGCCCTTACGGTCCACGTACTGGATACCCAGTCAGTTCGGAAGGCAAAAAAACATGCAAGAGACTTAAGCAAACTATTTGTAGTACCTGCTTTATATGTAAAGCAGAGTCCGCATGACAAATTGTTCAGATTCAAAAATATAACCTAAATAATGCTCAATTGCCTATGTGCACAATATGTGGCAGTTCCCGATATTAAATCGTGTTGGCGGTCTTGTAATTCGATGGCTTTGCTTCGCAAAAACATTTTCCATTTGGGGGTAGAACAAAGCTTAAGCATACAGTATCTGTCCGGAAATGAACTGGAAGCACGCAATACATTGCCCCGCTTTCCGCGTTACGCATGTGCAATATTATCCGTATCGTTGCCAACGTTCTGGCGTCCTATAAAAACCACGGCTTGTGCTGAACAGGGGTCCCAATTCGTGGCAAAGCTCGACTTCCAGAGTAACCGACGTATCCTCTCCGGTTTTTCTAAAGAGCTCCTTTAGAACTGACTCCGCGGAATTCTCCTCTTTTCCGACTTTCTACAGCAGAAAGGAAGCAACTGCATTATCTGCTGATACAGTCTCGAAGGTACAGTTGTTCTTATTTCTGTATATAGTAATTAAAATCGCCCCTCACCTTTCCATTGACCGATCTGATTAGATCACCAGCATATATATCGATGCGTTGATCAAAGACATCCACAACCAGCAGCCAATACTCCCCGGAATATCCCGGACCGGATATTTCGTCGCAGGCAAAGCCAAACCCGGAACTGTCGCTGCGCGCCACAACCGATCGATAGTGGCGCTTCGTTAAATCGCGGTTATACGGTTCAAAGCAGACCGGGCATCTTATCCGCAAGTACTGTAACGTACCAGTTGGTAAAGCTCATCTGCACCTAACTCTACGATCGAGAAAGTTACGCGTTTTTGGCATACAGTATGTAATGCTAATTAAAACATCAAAATTTGAACAAATCAAAAGAAATCCAAAAAAAACCTAAGAAAGAAGTTGAGAAACGCAGCAGCATTCGTAACACTGATGAAATCCAATGAACAAAAATAATTCTGGTGAAATACGTACATGAAATTACTTTTTGTTTGCAAAATACGGGCATGCCGAAATATCAGTATGTCGGCGTGGCTGGACTGTGGAGTGTGGACACGGAAAACGAAAACGATGGAAACTACGGTAACTACTTAGTGTTCACCTCTAGCGGGTACTGCCTTTGCCTTTGATAAGTTGTCATCACTCGAGTGGCTTCCGTGGCTTCCGTCGGAGCGATTTTTGTGTATTCTTTCGGAATTTCATCTAGAATTTATCATTTATGACAGTTTTAGACTGTTAGTCACTTGAAAATTTTTTAAATTCGCTACACCACAATTGGATTGCGAAGCTTACCGCGAGTTTCATCGCTGGAGCTGTCTGATTTCTGCAACACAAATTATAACCACACAAAGCCGTTAAATTTGTTAAAAAGTAGGGTATCACTCCGTCGACATTCTTCCGCAATCCGCAACACTTTTCATTCCGTGCAAAACCTTTCCCGGCACTGCCAATTAACTTGGTTAAACTGTTTACTGATAAGCCGAAACGGGTTTTTTTCCTTAGTACTAAATGTCAGCCACAGAATGTTATTTCTAGACCAAGTTCTCCGAAGGCTTCGCAAGATGATGCTGCTACTTCCGATAAAAAGCGCACAAAACACCATTAATTTTATGTTGTCTTTGCAATCAGTTCATGGACGCAGAATCCACGAATTCAAGGTACTCGTATGCATACCGAGTACAAAATTATGACACGGAAAATAAAAAATCGCACAGTTTTCTCCCATTTCTCCAGTTCTCCTCATGGGAGACGTGAAAAGCGAAAGAACACTAAGATAACGAACGGAGTGAATGGTGCGGAAGGTTGTGCGCGCAAAATGTAGTGGCCGCAGCGAACGGTAGTGCAGAAAGTTGTAAACCCAGTGAAAGGATCAACTGAATTTGTGTAGTGTGCGGTTATTGAAAACGAGTGTTCGGAATACTGTTATGTCCTCATATACCCACTACCAACCTCAAAGCCATCCTGGCAAAAGGCACGATACCGCATGGCCCTGCAGTGGTAATAAAGAACAACAACCAGAAACACCAGTATAATCACCCCGGACAAACATCCCATAACAATCACGAAGCCATCCATTATTACTCCGCAGTCTCCGCTGATCATTTGGGGAACTCATCAGAACATCATATCCCATTTCAGGCCATTTGTTTCTACAGCAATTGTATAGTACTCTGTACATGTACGTGTACAACACATTCGCATTGCTAATTTACATGGAAAGTACATGCGAGTTCTGGATGTAGTGAACTACTGAAATCTTGCAGAATTCACGCTGTCATATCCGCACTGATTAGTATTCGTACATTCTTGTACTGTCAATAAATACTACTTTGTAAAGCTTTTGCCCAAATTCCCGATCGATACAGTTTTGGATTTGCAGCGAAATTTGGCTGCTCGAGCATCTGTGCAGCTGTGGCCTGTGCAAGGTATTGCTGCAGAATTTTCAAGTAAACGAGCAACTTGGCGGTAGGCATTACCGCCGCACCACTGACAGTCAACCACCGCCGCCAGCCCGTGGTGTGTGTGTAGGTTCGCAGTCTGCGCTCGGTACGCTACGCTAATCTTTAGCATTGCGTAGCGAGCCCCGCATCAGCCCACTGAACCCCACGCTCAATTCGTCTTGGCCAGAACTGTTTTCAGTGTTTCACTCTTTTCCATAATAAATTCTTTCCTGGACTTTCTGCCTTTTTCATTGGACATTTACTCCTCAGTTTGCACGTTGTGGAGTAGTAGGAGCTGGTAAAGTTTTCCAAATTTTGTCCTGCTGGCGATTCTCCAGCGAAACACCTGCAGAACAGCAGAAATGACGCCGAGTGCGCGCTGGATCGGAGCGACATGGAGAACAGTGGCTGGTTGGAGTTGTGTGCATTTTAACTGCGCGATATTTCGCAGCTCCAGCATCGTAACGAATGCGCCGCGGAATTTCTCTGGTTAGTTGTGGATCGTCGCTCATCGTCTGAAAATATTCTACCGTGTTCGAGCGTGCCAGTGTGTGAATGTGAAATTCAATCTCGACAGTGTCCGCATGCCAGCGGCTCTTCACCAAGGACTCCCTGGGACTCAGCAAATACGAAGCGGACCGCGAGGCGACGGCCGCCGATCTCGGCACGATGCAAGGTGCTTTGCGATTGCATTTTCCTAATCGAATTCCACTTAATTGCTCCCTTGAATCTTGATTAAAACGGGAGGAATAATTTTTGTTGAGGAATTATATTTGATTTATTTTTTACAATTTACAATTTGATTTCTTATTTTATTTTGTACTTTCTTCTGTTTCTATTCGTTCTTCGTTTATTTTTAGTGGATGGTTTTAATTGGAGAAATTTTTTGATTGAATTATTTTAATTGTTATTGTATTATTTATAGAATTTTTTATATTTAATATTTTATTTGCGTTATTTTTGGTGCGTAAATTTAATTTAATTGTTTTTCAATCTTTTTTTAGGTGATCAATTCGGCTGTGCTTTTTGCATTTAGTTTTTCTATTATCATCTTTATTACCTATTTTATTCCATTTATTTTTGGGGTCAATCGTTTTTGTTTGTTTTTTAGCCTATTTTTAGGCGATCATTTTTACAGGTATTTTTCAAATTTTATTTTCTTATTTATAATTTAATTTGATTTATTTATCCTTGATTGGTTCATTTTAATTTGATTTTATTTTTGCTTTTTTCTGTTTTATAATTAATAATTTTGTTTTAATTTTTAATTTTATACGTTTTCATTTGGCATTTTATTTTAATTTTTTTGTGGGGATGTAGAGCATTTCCGGCGCAGAATGGAGCAGTATTTGTCGGCTAACTCCCGATCGATCATCGTCACCGTCTCGGAGGACCTGAAGAAGATGTGCTATCTGGCGCAGGACGACAAAGATCTGGAGATTGTCAACAAAATGCTCAAAAAGTACGCTGCACATTGCCGGCTGATTTGTGCCGTAGTATGGTATTTTTTAGGGGAAATTCAATTTTTTTGGCGTGAAGGTATGTGCAGCAGTATGGACGATCGCGCGCTGGTTCGTTCGTTTTCGGCCCGCTTCTCATGCGTCTGCATTATCATCTCAATAAACCCGACGCCGCTCTGGCCTCCATTCGGGATCCCGTAAGTAGATCTGCCTCGTTTTTTTATTTTATTATTTTTCTATTATTTATTATTCATTTATTCTCTAAGTTTCTATTATTTCTTTATGGTTGTTTCTTGTTTTAATCGTTTATTATTTTTATTGATTAGATTTCTATTTATTTATTTTTATTTATTTACTTTGGTTACGAATTTTATTCACAATTTAGATGATAGTTTTATTACAATGATGGTTTTATTTAGATGATATTTTATTGTAGAGTAGTTTCTTTTACAGATTTTTATCTTTGACGCAAATTAAAATTGCATTTAGTTTTTGTTTTAATTAGTTATTGACAACTGATCTGTCAGGGCATCGGCGATACAGATGTAGAAATCGTAGAACAGCGGTATTTAGTTAATTAGTTCTTCGGTATACGTTCGTTCAGGTTTTCCGATCGCGACGGAACAATATTTGCCATGCTTTATATGTGATGTTTATTTTTTTCTTGTTTTTGGGATGTTGGCTGCGTTTGTCAGTAATTTTACTTACTTTCTCCAGCGAATCTTTCGACTTGTCGGTGTTTATTTACGGGATGAGGTCATTAGAAATTGAGAGCCAGTGCAAACCGATGTCCGGCTTATGATAATTCGTAGTGACTTTGTTACATATCGCTTTTGCGATAACTTTCACGGCAACACGAATTAATTTCTAAACAGAGTCAAGAAAATTCATGGTTTACAAAAATAAATGTTAAATAAATAGATAATAAATAAATAAATAAATAAATAAATAAATAAATAAATAAATAAATAAATAAATAAATAAATAAATAAATAAATAAATAATGTTTAATAATGTTTATTAATTTGGTTTAGAAATAAATAAACAAATCGGTTATCAGTGGTTATTTTGACTCTTATCCAGTGAAAACTAACACCCGTTGAATAATCCGTTGAGAAAGTATTTGACCCTCCGAGATAAATTGGTTCGTTATGAATTGTGGTGTACTGTTTTGGTCGAACACGAACGGAAAATAATCGCGGTAAAACTACATGTGTTTTCTCATAGTTTAAATTAGGAAATTAAATATTGTTTAACTCTAAGATAAAAATTTATCCAGGGAAAAACAGGATTATGTTAATTATTTATTTTCCGTAGGTTCTGGCGGAGGTGTACGACCAGCTGACGTCGTACATGCTGGCCATGGATCTCCTGTACAAACACCAGCGCTACGACTACGTGGTGCAGCTGTACAAAGCCATGCTCGAGCGGCCCTTCTTCGCCGAGAAATTCCCCCGCGAAAACCTGGCATTGGCCTGCGCGGCCTGCTATAAATTGGTACGACCATGGGAATAATGTTTCCTAACTGAACAAAAAACATTATCATAATTGTCATAATTAAATAAATTCAGTCAAGTAATTTCATCATTCATGGTCAGGAAAGTCCTCAAACCATTTTAATCTTTGTCATAAAAAGTCATACAAATATGCGCAAATTTTAAAATGCTGCAAAACATATATTTAAACTTTTTCCTTATAAATTATTTATTTAATTTTTATATGAAATATTTTTTATTTATCTGTTTATTTATGATAATATAATTAATGTTTTCTTTTTCGTGAAAATTCACCTAAAATGCGCCTATTAAAATGCTGTAAAAGAAGCATTTAACCGTTTTTCTCCCAGTTACTGAATTAAACATTTTAATTATTAAAAGTAGTGTAGTGTATGGGTTACCTGCTACCGAGATGAAACTATTAAACTATTAAACTAATGAAAATGAATATTATGATTTAGAGAAACAGTGTTTCCCAACTGGCCAGATTTTTTTGGAAAAATGTTGAAGAAAGTTCCTGACTGTTAAATGACTTGATCTCTTTGTTTGTTTATGGTATGGTCCGTTTTCATAAAAATTCATCCTTTCTAAAAAAAATGCAAAAATGGGTTCATTGTACAGTACAGTTTCTGGTCAAAATTGCCTTTATTATCAGCCTAATTTTTCTTCCATCAATAAGGAATTGTTGGTTTAATCAAGTGATATTTCAGCGATATTTATGAAATATGTAGGGCACACCGGAAGCGTACGCCACCGCCCGCGAGTGGATGCAGGGTGTCATGGACCGACAGGCGCCGGTGATGCGCAAAGCGGTGGCTTTTGCGGCGGCGCTGGCCTTGAAAAACGTGAGCACAAGTCAAACCGATTAAATACTGCTTTTCGGTGTGCGTTTTCCGTGATGTTTAATTTGTTATTATTTTCTTGAAGATCATTTATTATTGTCCTCCGACTCCGATTAGAAAAATTTCCTTAAATATTTAAAAATCATTGAATTGCAATGAAATAACTTTACAGATTTCTTGTGCAAACACGCGGTAAATAAAACTGGGAAAAAGCATCCGCTGTTTTTGATCGAAGGTTAAATAATAATAATAAGAAAGGTTAATTTACTCAATGATGCTGCTTCGCCATAATTTAATTTTATTAAGAAGACTTAATTAATTTGTCAGAATGTTAGACACTTTTAAAGGTTTCCACGAAATTAATTAAATTAGCAAGTATTTATTGATTATAAAATAATTTTAATAAATAATAATATTAATATATCTAATTTTTATTTTGTAAAATATAATTTTGAGAATTGAAAAGTTTTTTTCTACAATTTCTAGAATTAATTTAGTAACTGATTAAAAACTTGAAACTATAAATCTGTTCATGAATTACAAATAGTTCAATATTACTCTAATTTATATTTACTCGAATTAATTTATTTAAAATTGCACACCACACCCCCAGATTTTTATAGAACGATCCGGCGGGTGCGTTGGAGTTGTTGAGTTTATTCTCCAATCAGTCCTACATGTCCATCCGCAATTTGCGCGTCCTAGCGCTGACCAGACTCGGTCGCCTGGAGCAGGTCCTCCCCATCCTCGGCTGGACCGCGGCACAGGACAGCGCAGTGAAACGGACGGGATTGGGCTTTTTTCAGGATGTGGTGAGCAAATTATGCTGCAATTCGCCAATTTTACATCGTTTTTCCGTAGAATGACTTGCCGGAGAGAGAAAATGACACGTAGAAATTGTTGAATATCGTAGAACGATGGCGCTGGAGGACATACTTCGCTGGTTTCACGAAGAATATTATTTGACATTATTTTGAAATTCTGTTGTTTTTTATTTACGCTAAAGTTTTTCCTGGCAGACTCTCCCGGTAAGTATTTTAATGTTTTGCTGAAAATTAATTATGGAAAAATTGTTAGGAAATAAAACGTTTTCATAATTATTCTTAGATTATTTTTTTATTATTCTTTCTTGACGATTTCTCCAAATTATTATGTAATGATTTCAGATAACTATTATTTCATAATAACTTCATGATAATTATTATTTATTTATGATAAATTAGTAAAATTATTATGAAATGATTTCGTAAATTATTATTTCCTGATAATTTCATAGAATTCTTATTGCATATTAATTAAGAATTACCATTTCGTAATAAATTCCTAAATTTATTGCTCATAATAATTTTATGAATTCTAATAATAATTGTTGCATAATTATTATTTCATAATGATTGTATGAAAGCATTAAGAATGGATATTAATAGAAATTAATTCAGCTAAATGACACCTAACATCGGAATGGAAATCTAATAAATTGTGCGGAATATCGTAGAAGAGTGGCTGACAAGACTACGCACAGCTTCAGTTTCCATACGAGCAGTAGAACTCGGTTAACAAAACATATTATCATCTTACGTGACCATTTTTTTAAAATGGTGATATCGTTCCCGGATCATTGGGAAAGTGTTTTCCGTTTTTCTAAAAAATATATTTTGTTTTGTTGAATTGAATCAGCTGAAAAGTTAAACGGAAAATGAAATAGTGGTAAATTAAATAAATTATTACTGATTATTTTGCGCAAATAGATTGGTGAAGTGAAGAAAGCCGTGGCCGCCAGCGAGGACGCGGAGCTGCGCCAGGAATTCGAGCGGACCTTCGCCGCACTGGACCAGGGTGATCCCGTGGACGCGCAGACCCTGGATGAGTTCCTGGAGCGGCCCTTCATCGACAGCATCGAGCGGGCGGCCTTCCAGGTACCGTTGAAATACGCCCACTTTGGGTCTTTTTTTTTAAGCTTTTTACAACTAAATGTTGAATTTTTTAAAATTACGTTCTGGGAAGCTTATTTTCAAAATACTTTTTCTGTTAGAAAAAAAGGAATTAAAATTTAATGAAATATTAACAGCTGCTCGTACAGCATTACTCTGAGCAATTAAGAAAAAGATTAGTTCGTTTTCCGTGATATTTTCTTAATTTTTTTAATAAACATTTTATCGTTTCTTAGTGAGCAATTTTGAATTCGGCCTTTAATTCGGCCAGTTTTTCCGCCTAAAAATTTTGAAGGAATAAAAAATTGGAATTTTTGTTGCAAACCGTTTCAGATTCTCGAGACCCGGTTTAATTTCGCATCACCCTAAACTGAAAATAAAATGTGACATTTAAAAAAAATGTATGTTTTGAATTTATTTGAATTTTAATAAATATCGTACAATACTGGCATTATACTGCATGTCTGCTGTAGCGTTATTCCGTTGAATGTATTTTCAGCATTTAATCTGATCAGTTTCTCCATCGAAAACCAGTCCGATAATAATTCTAAAAAATTCATTCATATTTATTTCGAACCGATTTTGATGCCGGAAGCCCGGTTTGGTTTTGCACTGATATGATTCGAAGCAGGAAAAATTCAACGTTTGAAATTGTAATTTTGAACGGTAATTTTCAGAGTCACCGTTTCGAGAACGAACGACACCGGTTGCGCTTCCCATCGCCAACGGATGGCGGTCGGTATGGGGCGTCTCCTAACCGGCAGGACCGCAGGCCATGGTCCCCACAAAATGCCCGCTACGGGATGGATGGCGGCCGAGAAAATCGCCGGGAACGCGCCGGAAGTAATTATAATGATGATCATTATTTTTGGGATCCCGCGCGGAATACCGCGCGATAATAATTCTGCTAACCGGCGACGAAAACCGGATTTTTGTGGACATGGTGCTTATCCTTGATCGGGGAATTTTTGCGTCGGAGAATCAGTATTGAGATACAGGATATGCAGTATCTGTTGATGGAATATTGGAGCGTAGATTTAACATGGAAAACGCGATATTCGGCCGATCGGAATTTTTTCTGGGATCCCGATGTTTCTTTTTTATTGGCAGAAATTTTTCTGTGATGCCGGTGTTGAAAATTCGAAATTACCATTCGACGAAGAATCTGAAGTATCCGGAAATTAAATGTCGGAGTAAAATATTCTCCATGACTGTGTAACTGTTAACCGAACCAAAAAACATATAAAATTCAAAAGAAAAATTACACAGAAATACATAAACTTTTGTAAAAAAAATTAATCGTTGCTTTTGTAATTTTAAATCGTTTATTTAAGCTTGGCAACGAATCATCCTAATTTCTAATGTAAAACCGCACTTTGACAATTTGCAACAGTTTAAAACGGGAAAAATGTAATTTTCAAGAATTATTTTCAAAATTAGTTTTGACGGAGAAAAGAGATGAAATTTAAATAGCAGTTGAACAGAATAAGGGAAAATAATTGCAACTAACGAGTAACTAACTAATTTTTGATATGTTTGATATAATTGCAACTGTATAATATGTCTGTATAAAAATTCGAAAAATAAATTCTTCGATATTTCTCATTTTAACCGCAAATCTCATTTCACTTAAAAATCGATGTTAATTAAAAAGAGCTAAAAGCTGTTTCCATTTCCAGGTGTTTAGGGCATAAGAAAAAAATATCTGAATTCTTTTGCACCGAGATTGCAATACTACGCGCATCTGAAAGTCGGTACTGAAATGGTGAAGAGCGGTTATGGTATCGTTCTTCGATTTTCTACATCTGCAGATTCACGCAGTTGGCGTACCCGTAATAACAGCTTGTGTACTCTAGGTTTAGGAATAACAAAAAAAAATCCAGATGGAATTTTTAATTACTGCCGAAGGCGTCCTCACATAATATTATGCTTCAGATCGCGGTGAATTGTACATTAAGGAATAAATTACAATGGTCACAGCCGGCGGCGCGCCTTGCGGAACTCGGACGCGGCGGGCGGGCGCGCTAAGCGCGGCGGACGAGATTTTCTTCCGCGGATTGCCGTCACCGGGCGGTGCATCCGCGACACGGCGCAGCTGCAGGGCGGGCGGGGCTAAGGGGCGGCGTGCGGTTAGTTTCGCGGCGGGGTCCGTGTCGAACAGATCTAAAGGGAGAATATAAAGCCAGAGATTAGCGGATGTACAGCGCATGCAGCATGCACTCATGATCAATCATTCAGATAAATGCTCCGGCCGGCACTCCGGGAATTACTGCAAAGACACAACAACCAACACCCGCTCTTTTATTCAGTTAATTATGTTAGGATGCCACCCGATTTCGTTTAACGCAGCCGGCTATTTTTACTCGTCCTGCCACTCATAATATGCTGAGGCACGATAATCATCGACGTCCGCTCGACAAGAAACCGGCATTAGCGATAATCGCACGATTGATTAGTAGCTTAAGACCGGCACAGTTGTGGCCATTTTGTAACTGTTTTCGTATCACGGGGAGTTCCCGTTTATCATGACTTTGACTTCCTTCTCTGACATTTCTATGTTCCCCCTGGCATTCCTAAAAAATCCTCACTGGTTTGCTGTTCGTTCACTTTTCTGTGTTATTGTCGATGTGTTATAAATAAAAATTTATTCGAGCGCCCATGCAGAGTACTCTGTATGAACTTTTTGCCTTCAATATGCCGAGAAATATCTGGACACCATCGCCAGAGCGATTTTCTGTAGAAAAGGTGATCGATCTGTACAGCGGTAGCGAGTCTACAGTTCACAAAATAACCGGATCGTACTTCGTGCCAAATAAATTTTGGTATGGCCGAGACATTCGTGTAAAGTTTCATCAAGATTTTGCCGCGTATAAGTGCGAGATTCGAGTATTTTCACGGTCATCTGTTCGCTTCTCTAGGAAAACGCTAGCCGGTGCTTTGTCAGAACCTTTTACTTGACCGAGAACTTACCGTGTGGTTATATATTTAGTAATGATTTTTTGGCAAATTTAAGGACATGATCTACCACACATCTTCCGCAGTCTCCGTGCCGAAGGTTTGCAAGTTCATTAATTAAGCGGAAGACTTCCGGTTAGATAGGTCAAAGTGGTTCAGATCGAAAAATATGCTCGTACAATTGTGGAGTACTAAAAATATGTATTGGAATTTTGATTTTCTGCTGCCAAGAATACGCAATTCCCACATTTCTGCGCTTGCGGGAATGGAGAAAGGTTTAAGACATGCAACCGGTTAGTTCCACAAGCAATTTCGCCACCACAAGAATAACAAAAACCTACGCGGATGACCACAGAAGATCAGCCGTAAAGTACAGAAGGAAGTTCGTACGTGTTCGTACGTGCTGCAGAGCCATTCGTACAAAGGTGCATATATCAGCCGCTACCAGTGCTGGCGCTAATAAGCCCGGCTGTATATAGGCACGCTTGTTACGGTGGCACGGCAGAGCCGTGATACCGTACAAGTGTGCATATATCAGCCGCTACCAGTGCTGGCGCTAATAAGCCCGGCTGTATATAGGCACGCTTGTTACGGTGGCACGGCAGAGCCGTGATACCGTACAAGTGTGCATATATCAGCCGCTACCAGTGCTGGCGCTAATAAGCCCGGCTGTATATAGGCACGCTTGTTACGGTGG